TGTCATGGCTGCCGTCACGTGATGGTGCACAGCTTCTATAGACCTTATTTGTCGTGATGCAATGTTTTTTCCAATAACAGACCACCTGTCATTCCCTAGAGTATCATTTCTTTGTTTAAAGGCTGCGACGAGAAGATACATGAATATGGATACAGCATAATCAAAGAATCTTACTCAAGGGAATGACATTTGGTCTGTAATGAAAAAACATTGCACCAAAAGGAATAGGTCTATTYAAGGTGGCTATGAAAAACTCATGGTGTTTTGTCTGAGAACATAAATTTGGCGTACTGTGATTGGTCAATAGATGTGTGTACCGTGACCGTGATGTGGGATAATATTTATCAATATATTAATCCAATTAGCGCAACTAACACCATGCTGCTTTTACGATATTTTATTGCAGAAGCTTCGTATTCTTGCTAAACGATTGGCTGAGAATCTAGATTTGAATTTTTTTGACGTCAAAGCCAGCTCAAGGGAACGTATCCTTATCTTGACTTTTTGCACAAGATACAACTATCCTTAAAGTGCAACAACGTGACCGAAAAATCCCTTGAGATATAAATAACAATGAAACATCCGCCATCTAGTTTATTTATATTCATCTTTAACTCAAATCATTTAGACATTATTCGCCATAGATCTGCTGAARCAAGTCGTGCTGATAACAGAAGGGTTAACAACAGCCTTCCTGTCTGATTGATTCACTTTTCATCTTTATTGCATTTACAAATATTTCGGTGCTATTTTCATTCTAAACGTGCGACTTTCCTTCTGCTTTACTTTTCATTACTCTTTTTATCTGGTTTTACTGTTTTTCTCTTCTTGTTTAACCTGTTTCACTACTTTTCAAACCAATTGCTGACAAGTTACGACAAAAGAGTATCGATATTAAAATTCTCAAGAATTTCTGTGGTTTTCTCTTTCTTCAGTTCCTCTCGAGGATTACTAAAATTAGTGATTTCATATTCTCACYTCCTTTGTGTTTTCCTAATATGACAATTTCATTTTAAGAGATTAGTTYCTGTAGCAAAGTACAACTATTTTTTTCCATTTGAAGTTTGACGTTTCATTCACCAACTTTATTTGGGACGTGATATATTTGGTGATGAATAACACACACTCCAGACTTCAAACACCCATCAAAAATACTAGTATCATCCCTTCCATATAAGGTACGTATTCTCAAAAATACAAAAATATTTATTTATTGATGTTACTATTTTGAGTTTAATTTCGTTACTTTTGACCTTGAGGACAAATTTGACCGGAAGTGCACGACCGGAAACGCTGAAGTACAAGTTAACGATGACATCATCATTACAATGAATCTGAAATATAAATAAGATTAACTGAAAGCCGTTMAGTAGAAGAACATCAGCGCTGAAGCTTAACGACCAAAGAAAACGAGAACAAGAATGTATTTTGAAAATATTTATTTTATTTATACCCGGAAAATGCGAAGGTAAGGATAATATATTTTATAAAGGTTTAAAAAAAATTTTTTTTGTCTTTCTTTCTTTTTGTTATCATTTTTCGTTTATTATTATTGTTAATTTTTTTTATGACACTCAAGCAGTTTTTAGTAATGTTCTCGGCTACTATGAACTCATAGCAAAACAATTGCTATGCCCTGTGMCTTTTTATATTAGTGCTTAACAAATTTTTAAAGTGCACCTAACCGATTCTACATAAAGTGAAAACTTGAACGATGAAATATTTCTTCATTTGAATGTTGCGTCTTTAAGGTTTGAAGGTTTCACAGTCAGTAATATATTGCAAGTATAAACCTTCATAACTTAAAGACGCAACATTCAAATGAAGAAATACTCCACCGTTCAACTATTCACTTTATGTAGAATCAATACTGAAAGTATTCTATCGATGGTTAGGTGCACTTTAACGAAATCAAAAGGTTGTTCATTTTCGACTTTATTTCGCACTWACAAAATAAAGAAAACAACTCCAATATTCAGTATCAGTCAATTTTTATCTTMCGAAGGAAAGCTCGTTTATTTTGCTACAAAATCCTTTGAATTTTYATGTGTGCTGACAATAGGACATTAAAGTAACATGTAATTTTATCGACGATCTGAAACAACCTCTCGGCAAGGCTATAAAATAGGAATAGACTACTTGGACGATACGGTGGTCATTTTGGATCGCGAGGCATTTTGGGGCGTCCAGGAGGCAAATATAGAGCTATATGAGGCTTTATGATATATATTTTTTCTTTATATCGCCTGTCAGTATTTCACCCAAACATATAGCAAGCATATCGATAAACTTTTCGTGACAAACACAAGAAAGTATGAATGATAAGCCATCTTTAGTTTTGACCCTTGACGCCCCAAAATGCCTTGCAATCCAAGATGACCGCTGTATCATCGTCGAAGCAGTACGTTTGCTTGTTAGGCAAATCTTCGAATCAAGGGGAAGACCTAACAAACTCTACTCTGATATATAAAAGAACAAAACTTTCTAACTCTATCAATTTAATTTACACTAAAATGAAATATTATATTTTACCACAAAAACGTACGTGATTATTGTGACGCAGCAAAAATTGCGGAGATTTTTAATGCGTATTCTATTGTTTTAAAGTCTAAGTTACTTTCATTTTCAGAATGTCAATCACAGCGAAGCCATTTATTCATATATTCATATTTATTCATTTAATTGGCACGATGCCAGTGCATGGAACATTGAACACGACGAATGAAGTGCGCATGTTCAAGGGACTGCCATCAGGGACTGTGGGCTCATTGGGTCCAAGGACATTAACGATACGACACGATCTACCKGTAGGTGAAAACAGAACTACGCTTATTAATAACTGTGAATCAGTATTCTTTATARGTTTTCTGAGAACTCGATAAACTCTTACACACACAAAGACTTTTTTAGCTTGGGCGATACGTTTACTACGTCAGACTACGTGCCATTCTCTTGAGAACTGATGAGATTAGTTCTTTATTTAAGTCTCGGCCACTTTAAGTTCTTGTCGAGCGTTGTCGGAAAAGAAAAAAATAGATTCTCAAGTGAATGATGACACGTGTTTTGAAAARAGAAAAACATAACGACGAAGACAATAATTTATTACGCCCAAATGACAAGTCACAGTCTTTTGGTAATATTTGTACTTTTTGAACTCAAACTCAACTTTGGACTGCAAACGATAGTTGACATTGTTTGATTTGTTGTTGTTTTTTGTTGTTGTTTTTCTCTTGGTGCTCCGGTTTTTCTCCGGGTACTCTGGTTTCCCTCCGTATCTCGTAAAGAGTCAGTGTAGTGGTAGTGGGTGTGTAGCAAACCTCTCGGAAGAGCCTCTTACTGAGAGTGATGGTTGTAAATATGAACTTATCTTTTATGTCTTTACTTATGTTTTTTACTCTTTCTTTATTTCAGGGAAAGGTAGTGTTCACTAATGGCTCTGTGTTTTCTATCGAAGCTAATRTTACCGTTATCGATAGCATAAACGCAAGCCAAATACAAACGAACTACAAAATAGCACCAGACAACCATTCCATCGTGCTTGAAGTGGTGAGTAATTCATTTTATAAAATAACTGTTATAAATCTCGCGCTCTGATTGGCTGGGAGTGCGTGCTTTATGAGAGCATACAGCACGCGCGCGCACTTTCAGTTGTATTTTATAAAAGAAATAAAGAACTTGCTTTCTTGCTGTGTGGAGTTATAAAGCACTTGGGGATTGTCAGAACATTCAAGAAGTGACGCGTCGTGCTTCTCCTAACACTCCTCTCGTGTTCTGACAACTTCGCGTGCTTTATAAATGCACACAGCACGCGCGCGCCTTTTCTATTTTTTCATTTCTTTTCGAAATCAACCAGCCTGACAATGCAATATTTATGTTTTAAATTTTCAACATCTTTCATTCTTTTATCCCTATGTGTAGTACAAGTTGGAATCCCCTGATACCTTTCAAAATCCACCCAAAGATCAAATGCTGCTAATAGTAGCGACATCTGTTTCTGGTTTTATTATAATTTGTATCCTCGTGTCTCTTGTGCTGTACTTCTGCTGGTGGAAAAAGAAAACAAGCACTATGTTACTGAATGAAGATTTTAAAGACAGCCAATTGAAAAAAGGTATATCGCTGCCTGCTATTGTTTGGGCATTACAGCCATGTACAGGAGATGGTGATGGTTAAAAATGATGATAAATGATAACATTTGACAATGATAATGAATAGGGTGGCTTATGGCTATAGACCCCTTTAGATTTGGCGTAATGTTTTGCCTATTTCAGACCACGTGTCATTCCCTAGAGWATCATTTCTTTGTTTAACGGTTTCGCATGATAAGACTAGAATATGGACACAAATCAAATAAAGAATCGAAATTTTAAGACAATGACACGTGGTCTGAAATGGGAAATGAATGGATGCTGAAGATGATAATGACGATGCATGATGATGATTAAAAATGAAAAAGAAAGCAGATGATTGAGCATAGTGATAAAATGATGATGATAATTAATGATAGTGGCAGTAGTGATGGTGATCCCTGATGATAACGATTGATGATCATGAAGATCGTTTATCTTTAACTTTAACCGATGATGATGATTATAAGACTAAAGGATAATCACGGCCATACTAACTCGATAATTCTATCTTTTCCCAGCAGCGATTCCCAGAACCTTTTCACAAAAGCGTCGCTTGTATGATGCCAGTTCAAACCACAGCACCTTGCACATCACGCTTGTGGTCGTCATAGGAACGATCTGTGTTGCGCATGCGCAGTTGTACTTGGTTACAGTGGACCTCGTGATAACAGTYCCTGAAGGGTTTCTCGAACCTGACTCGAGGATATTCTTCAACGAGGATAACAAAAATCAAATTGATACTCTACAATATAAAAACGACTCTATTCTCGTATTTGGTAAGAGAAAAATGATAATGGGGTTCTTGTTTAGCGCATTTCACATTGTCTCAATGCGCTTTACATTTGTGAGCGGTGGAGGACTTTACGGGCTGCATATTAAGGCGTTATTAGCAGSMGTGCAGCTTACAATCATGAGTGATTTGTTAGTACATTAGTGTTATGCCTCCAAATTGGGATRGGCTGTTGAACTGAATGAATGAATGTCAAAAGCTCAGTGCTGTAAGTGTGCCGTGACCGTGATGTTTTCTAGAATTTTAATTGGCTGATTCTTTTTTTATTTTTTGCGCAATGCGATTGGTCTGGCAGTGTCGTGACCTTGGCGTGACCGTGTTATGCCGTGTTCCGGGTATTTGATTGGATGAAGAGTAAATTCTAAAGCAATGTAATTGGTAAGGCGTATCCCATACCGTGTGACGACAGAGCTATACAAAACTACTATGAGGTATCGTAGATTCTTACTAACATAGCTTCCATGTTTAAGGATTGAGAATGTGTAACACACCTGGCGTGCGCTGCTAAAATAGATTTCGTATGACTCAATACCGTGACGTCGAAATACGACACAGAACACTGCGAACAAAATTACTGCAWATCCAATCAAAATGCTCGGACACAGTACTGCCAAGGTCACCGCACGACACGTCCGTATATTTGAGTTTTTCGTAATCAACGGCTGCAATAGCAGCCATGACAKGAGGCAGGACCAATGTTATCTGGTCTAGTCTGATTTACATGGAAAAGAATAACTTTCCCAGGGGAAGAAGAATCTGCTGTTGTRCCTCCTCTCATGGCTGCCATCACATGATGGTGCAAAGCCTGTATATAACTCGCGGTTTGTCATGACGTTTTCAGATGTAGAGAATGCATCACCAGCCCCAAAAGATATGTGTATCCTCTTGAATGCGAAGTGTCACACGGGCACGTGTGATTCCCTGACGGGACTATGTGTGTGTCCACGTGGGAAGAAGATGATTCAARGTGGCGGAGGGAAACCCACATGTGTTTTTGGTAAGTGCATGATGGGATATTTTGAGTGGATATCATTGACCTTAGCGCAAGTTCTGACTAAGGTTCTTGCAATATTAATATCTTCTTTTTTCTGTGTAACCAGAATGTACTCAGCCATGTCCGTCTGGGACCTACGAGTTTTCTCCCTGTAACCAAACCCACCCTGCTGTCTGCAAAGGTAAGCAACCAGAACCAAGCTAATAAAAATATAAATTAAACTGGTTTTCGTTTGGCAACCAAAAACTACTTCGTCGCAACGGCAAATCGTACGATTCGCATGCACGTGTGATTGATAAGCACTGTAAATACTAACAACATTGTTTTTGTAGCTTGTAGACCACCGTGTAGTTTCAAAGAATTTGAATCGACTGCTTGTGCGGGAAACACCGACAGGAATTGCACTGGTAAGTGAACTTGAATGTCTTTTATAAAACTCATGAATAATTCATGACGAAAACACAATAGAAATCATTGTCCGTGGAGGAGGTTGTATATCTGATACAAAATCGTCCTGATTTGCATAAACTTTAACTCCAATTTTCTTAGCCAAATTCAATTTTATCTTTAAAATTATAGTAGAACATGAATGTATACACCTAGACGTTTCATAAGTAATATGCAATATTCGTGTCCGTGTTGTATCAGATATACAATCACTTGCCTTCGGCTCGTGGTTGTATATCTGATACAACATGGCCACTCATATTGTATATATTATTTACACTGACGATTAGTGTTTATCCAGGTAAACTACAATCGCATGGAAATAACCATTTTTTGTTCACGGTTTTTTGTTTTTTTTTTGTTGCTTGTTTGTCTTCAGCTATCTCTCTGTTACCCCGGATTAAAGTCTCTTCTAATGTTATTTACGAAGACTTATCCAAGGTTAGTATCCACGAATTCATCATTATGAATTCCTGTATTTCCAATCTCTAGCAGTTAGTAAAGAGTGGAAATAATGCATATATCTGTGGCTCCTCATC